TTCATTTAATAAATATTTTATATTTAAATCTGACAAAAATTAGAAATCAATATTTAATTTGAGATGTCATACTTATGAAAGGAAATTTTGATTCCTGAACAATATTTCTGGTTACACCCACATACACTTCAATATAAAGTTAACTTTATTATACTATAAAATTACTTTGTACAAATAAGAAATTTATAATTATACACAATTATTGGAAAAAAAATATAATATTAATAAATCACGATTATATAAAGTCATGAATTCTCGCTGATTGAGAGTCAAGTTCCCTTTTAGCGTTAACATTATAATTGGGAGTAAAATAGCCAAAGTCTATCCCTGGCATAGGATGTTCAATTAGGAGGTTTCGGATATTGAGAGAATAAAACTGAGATAGTTGTATTTTATCATGTTTAAGGCTAATTTTTGGCGTATGTAGAACCCCTCGTTGGGATCCTCGGTTCTAGCAGAGATCCGTTTTCCCAGCTCTTTAAAGAAGGCCAGGGTATGAGAGCCGATTGACTTTAGAGTCGTGGCGATTAATGGTAGGAATGTATAATTGGCGTGAAGGATGGCGAATATTTAGCAGTTTATTCGCTTCGGCATCTAGTTTATATTGGAAGGCGCAAGAGGATCGATGCATGAGAAATCCCAGGTTAGGAAATCCCTCCTCTTCCAAGATATCATAGTCGAACCATCGTGCCGCTTACTATCGGTATTGTAAAGGCCAGTAGGTTCGAGGGTTGATGTAGTGCCAGAGGATTTTAAGGCCCTAGCAATGGTATCATTGCATTATGAATGCCTAATCAATATGCCTCTACAGCGCTTGCAATGTAAAAAGTGACGGCCTTTGGAGTTGACCGACGTTTGACAGTGGATACAGTGATAAGGCATTACCATATCGCAATTTAGTCTAAGGCCGATGACGTGACGTAGTTCATCATTGCTTAGGAGCTGATCAAGGTTTCGCGATGGGACAGCCTCGAGAAATTCGTATCCACTATCTAAGGAAATGGAGAAGAGTAGCATTTTCTTAAAATATAATAATACTATATGATAACCCGTCAAGAATGACTGGGAATCAAAATTTTCTATTTATGGATAAATAATAAATTTTACCTTCATTTGACGATGGATGAATCAGAATAGTGAAATGAGAGGAATAGTTTATCCGTTTCCGTTCTTCTAAGATTTCTATAAATTTTTAGAGAAAGGCCAAATATATTATGGAAAATATGGAATAAAAAAAATATATGATTTATGAATTATGATATTTATTAATTCTTTTAACAAATTTCCCACAATCAGACGCAATGGTTCTTACCCTCTAACTTGGTATAAAGTCTACATTCATTTCAAAGAATCATTAAAATGCTTTTAAAACCTTCCTAAAGACTCTTTATAAAAAATACCTGCCATCATAAATTCGAAACAAAATTTTTTTTGGTAGGGGGAAAGGGGGGTGGCAAACCTGATTACTCATATACATTGTGGTGGTATCCACCCCATCGCAATTGGCTATTTAGAAGATTATTAGCAAAAATAACTACCATGGGTCAATACCCAGGGTCGGGTCTATACTTATTAGATTTAATGTTAAGGGATAAGGCAAAATAGCTTCACATGCCATTTGTATTATATCCAAAATCTTCCACCTGACATGGCTATTATAAAGTAGACTTTAAAAATGCTTTCAATAAGAAATTTCATAAATTGTTTTTGTCGCCAATTTCCTATTCGAAATTCCTAGTGACATACTGTGACATTAAAACAAAACTCCTTTATTCTGCCCACATGTCATAGATTCTGACGTAAGGATCCAGCAGGGAGCACACGTCCTCGTTTATTTTACCTTAGTATTCATTATCTCATCCATTATCTTAAATTAAATTTGATTTGGATAGATATTTTTGGTATCTTGATGATAGAGCAATATGTGAATCTGTTTCCATGATAACAATATATAGAACCCTCATCTAGCAAGATTAAATTTTTTATTGAGTACATAAATAATAAAAATTAAAAAAATAAGGTAAAAAGGTTTATTCAAACATGTTTCAAATATTTGTTCATATTGAATGCAATAAGTATATATATATATACTTCATTAATATATTATAAGAATAATAAAAATTTTGGAATTAACCCTCAGAAAATAAGATAAATTTCTGATTCACACCTCATATAGGCTTATTTCTGATTTATCCATCATCAAATTAAGGAGAATACTAATTCCTTGTCATTCTTGTGCGACATCAGCTAGTAATCATATAAATGCAAGTATTTATTAGATTGTGTCAATGGATACTTCCTTAAAAGTTTTTTTATTAACAATGGAAGCAACAAAGCACTCCTTGGTATGTTATCCACAGAGTTTTGAATAAGTTTTCATCTTCTCATGATATGGATCCATTCTTCAAGATGATCTTTATTATAAGAAAATATATTTTGATACAGGTAGTAGGGTTAGGCCATATTTTAATTTTGAAATATACCCGGACTGGCTCTAGAATTCTTAAAGATATCCAGGTCGGTTTGTATATTTTAAATAGCCATTATTATCTATAAAAATTGAAAATAAATATAATATATTTTAAAAAAATCCAGACCGGGCCATGCCAAAAAATTTTTTAAAAAAAATCCAGGGCCGACGTGCAAATGGTACATATAGGTCTCTGATATATTTATTTTATTAATTTTATAAAATCTGTAAAAATTATATTTAATGTGCTCAATAAAAAAATATTCCTTAATAAATTTTTATACATTCATTTGCAATTTAAAACCTAAAAAAATTATTCTTGCTAGATGAAGGTTTTGTTTAACTTAAACCCGCCTATTCAGTGGATAGATTGAAAGATATTGGGTTGGTGAGTGGGAGGGTTAAAATATATTTTAAAAACAATGGTTAGGTGAATTTGAAATATATTTCAGGCAAAATGAGCAACTGACTTCCATTTATTATTAGATATTATTTTTTAATTTCATAATTTATAAGTTTAAGTAAAAAACACTAAAACAATACATAACGAGCCAAATCAACCAATGTAATTTTTAAACATTGGACTGGTAAGTTAAACAAAATTTTTAAATAAATGAACAGCGCCAAAACTTGCCCATCGCAGACCTCTAGTCAGGATGACATCGGAAACAGCTGATCATAATGGATTTTACCTCTGCCAAATAATCCATTTATAAATGATATGCGCCTGCCACTTTTATTTTCCCATGCATTTATCATCAGAGGTATGCAAATGACAACATTTTCAATGAAGAAAGAAGAAGGACGTCCTTGGAGAAAAAGTATATATTATTTTATCTCCTTTTATTTCTCTTTTTCGTAAGGTATATATCAGAGACCTGCAAGCCCGGCCCTAAGCCCGGCCCGGCCGTATTTTAAATTTTTTAAATATACCCGGGCCGGGCCGGGCCTAAAAAAATTTTATCCGGGCCGGTGCAACGTTCTAAATAAATTCCGTTTTAAATAAATTTCAATTTAGTGATATTGACATTTATGACTGACATGTTAAGATTTAATATTATTATTTTTAGTGATATTGACATTTATGACTGACGCGCATATATTAAATATAATATTTTTAGTGATACTGACATTTATGATTGGTAGCCCAGCAATATTTACAATTGATCTTGATATAGTAGGTATACTCAAAATAATTAAATATTCTATTAAAATTGCTAAAATTTATTATTAGAAAAATTTACAATCATTTACTTTGCAAAGTTGAGTATTGGTAGAATAATAGGTTTTTATGCCATTTAATATACTTTATCTAAAATTAATTAAATTAAGATATTAGAAGGATATATTATTTATTACTTTGCAAAATTTGTAGCCCAGCAATATTTAAAATTGATCTTGATATAGTAGGTATACTCAAAATAATTAAATATTCTATTAAAATTGCTAAAATTTATTATTAGAAAAATTTACAATCATTTACTTTGCAAAGTTGAGTATTGGTAGAATAATAGGTTTTTATGCCATTTAATATACTTTATCTAAAATTGATTAAATTAAGATATTAGAAAGATATCTACTTTGCAAAATTTGTAAGACAGAAATATTTACAATTGATCTTGATAGATTCTTCATAAATCTGATTTATACGTACTCCCACTTCAATCAAATATGTCAATATCACTAAAATAAATAAGGTTAAATCTTAACATGTCAGTCATAAATGCCAATATCACTAAATTAGAATCTATTTAAATCGGGAGTTCATCTAAAACGTTACACCGGGCCTAAAAAAAATTTTTTTAAAATATATCCGGGCCGGGCCTAAGATTTTTAAACCCGGGCCGGGCCGGGCCTTAATATTTTTTATAAAAAATTTTACATTATGAGTTATTGGTTATAAGATTATATTATATTATAGTTATGATTAATATAATATTGGGTGATGGTTAACACTACCTAACACCCACAGATCGATCTAATTATTAATTTCCTGAAAGATACCGGAAAACTCCATTTTAAATTACTTAATATATTTTAATCTAAAATTTCAGTGCTCCACTAGTCATTTTCAAATTGTGTTAGAAAACTTAGAAGCTAGACTTAGAACAGTATGTATAATTATTTAAAATATATTTTAAATTTCTTAATATATTTTATTATCTAGAATTGCAGTGCTCCACTAGTCATTTTCAAATTGTGTTAGAAAACTTAGAAGTTAGGCTTAGAACAGTATGTATAATTATTATAAATATATTTTAAATTACTTAATATATGTTATTATCTAGAATTGCAGTGCTCCACTAGTCATTTTCAAATTGTGTTAGAAAACTTAGAAGTTAGACTTAGAACAGTATGTATAATTATTATAAATATATTTTAAATTACTTAATATAAGTTATTATCTAGAATTGCAGTGCTCCACTAGTCATTTTCAAATTGTGTTAGAAAACTTAGAAGTTAGACTTAGAACAGTATGTATAATTATTATAAATATATTTTAAATTACTTAATATATGTTATTATCTAGAATTGCAGTGCTCCACTAGTCATTTTCAAATTGTGTTAGAAAAGTTAGACTTAGAACAGTTGTGTTAGAAGAATAGTTTAGAAGTGGATATATCCCATAAACAGATTTAAGTAATAAAAAATTCTATTTTGCTAATAATTTTATCTTACTGTAAAATTAAATTTAAACATTGATAAAATTTTTAGAATAAATGATTTCAAAATTTGAATTATTCTCTTTAAATAAAAATGTACATTGATATTTTTTAGCTTCATATATTAGTTTATAAAATCTATTTCAAATTAGATTGAATCTTTTTGTAAATAATATAAAATTTTAATAACATACTTTTTCTTATAACTATAATATTCAGTTTAAATTTATTATAATAAATAAATATAATAATTTCAATATACATTATTTAGTAAATATTGATATTAGATATTTATAATCAATATAAGATATAAATAATTAATATTTATTATCATTAGAATTAGTGATACTCAATCAATCAATTTTAAGCATTCAAGAAGCTAAAGTAAAAATTAATATTAAATATAAATCTTATAATTCATATCTAAATTTTTAGAATATTTCCAAAACAATCAATAAAAGGAATATCATGGCACAAAACACTAAAGATATAATTGACAAAATTAAAAATAATATTTATTCTTTTAAAAATACTAATAATACTTTAAAATCTGATATTTGGACTAAATTTAAAATAATAATAGATAATAATAATAAAAAAAATATTGGCTACGTGCAATGCATAAATTGTTCAAATTTATTATCTTATAATTATAACCATGGTACATCACATTTAAAAAGACATAAATGTGATGGTAAATCCATGAAAATTAATAAATTTTTTTTTACACCTGAAAAACCCACTTATAAATGTAATATGAAATATTTAAAACAAAAATTTATAGATCATTCCTTAACACTTTGCGCAAAAGATATTAGACCTTTCGAAATGATAGCTGGGAATGGGTTTCTTGAATTCAGCCAGGCTCTAGTCGATGTTGGGGCAACATATGGTAAAATAGATATCAACTCATTAATTTCACATCCCACCACTCTATCACGCCACCTTAAAGAAAAATGTAATAAAACAAGAAGCATTTTGGTTGATACTATTGCCCCAGTAATCAAGAATCGATTTATGGCTGCTTCCACTGATATATGGTGCGATGACCATTAAAAGAACTCGTTTATAACAGTTAACATGCACTATATATCAGATGACTGGAAGTTAGTGAAGAGAAACCTATTTACCGCTAAATTTAAAAAAGTGTCTAAGACTAGCCAAGTAGTTAAGGATGAACTATTAAAAAAATTTCATAATTTTAGTTCTAACAATAACGATTTTATTAATATAATTTTTGTTACAGACCAAGGTAAAAATATTATAAAAGCATTGGAGTTAAATGAACGATTAAATTGTTCTTGTCATTTATTAAATACAATTTTAAGAAATTCATTTAACTCCAAATATTTGGAAAGTAATGCCCCATTAATAAAATCAACAATAGATAATACTAAAATATTAGTGGGGCATTTAAAACAAAGTAATAAATGCCAGCATTTAAAAGCCCTTTATCAAGATATAGAAGTCCGCTGGAACTCTAAATACAATATGCTCAATTCTGTTTATTCTCAAAATGAAGAAATTAAAAAAGTTCTTCTAGAACATGGGGGATCGGAAAAGTATTATATTATAGACTTTCCGATCCTTCAGGATCTAGTCAACATTCTTGAGAATTTTAACAGAGCTATTGTTGAGTTACAGTCGGACTCTTGTACTCTTTTTAAAGTGGTATTATGAACTTCTTGAAGTTTGTAATACCTTTCAAAGCGAAAAAAGAGAAATAAAATTGATATTACTTAATATAAAGCATTTTTTAATTGAAAAATTTGTTTTACACAAGTATCATTTTATTTCTCTTTTTCTCTGTCCCAAATTCAAACAATTACGTATGTTGTCAGGGACAGATCGCAAGATGGCGGAAAACTATATAAAAGATTATATTAAATCACAAGAGACTCAGGAAGTAAATGAAATACCATCGACCAGTCAAATTACGACTGTTGTTAAACAAACTGAGTCGTTTTATGACAAATGGGGCGATGGTAATTCTGGTAGTATGTCAATACCCGATGATGAATATTATAATTATATAAACAAAAAAACAGATGAAATATTTAAGGTGGATAATTTGTTAGAGTGGTGGGCTTCTCATCAAAGCGAATTCCCAATTTTAGCAAAATTGGCAAAACGGGTATTGGCTATTCCTGCTTCAAGTGCAAGCTGTGAGCGGAATTTTTCCACTACTTGAAGAATTCTTGAAGAAAGAAGAAGTAATCTTCAACCTGAAAAGGTAGATATGCTTCTCTTTCTTCATGATAATTTGTGAATTTTTAATATCTTTCTTGAGTATAGGGTTTCGTCAATCATGCTGGTTTTTTACTTTGCAAACTGTCAAATATTTATTGCATTTATTATATTTTACCTTGAGTCATGAAAGTTTTTTATTATTTTTTTTTACACTATATTATATAATACAATTATCTTCTTTTGTTAAAAATTTATATTATTAAATAAATTATATTAATATTGTGCAATTTGATTATATTTTCAAAATACTATTTATTATACATGCATTTTTTTAAATAGCGATTTATTTTCACTTTATAAATTAAATAGTAAATTAAATACAATATATTATATTGTCAAAATATTTTCCATTTTTATAAATTATATATTAGTTTTATTATTTTTAAATGCAATATAAAATATAGTATATGCTCAAAATATCCATTTTTATAAATAATAGTTTTATAATTTTTATAAATTTAATATAATATTCTCAAAATATTAGCTTTTTACATGTATTTTTTAAATAAAAATTAAAAATCACAAAAATATTATTTGCACAAATTTTTTATAGTATCAATTTGTAATTAAATATCTAAATAAAATATGAAATATACTTATATCCGGCCCTTAAATTTTAAAATCCGGGCCGGGCCGTAAAAAATTTTTTTAAAAAATATCCGGGCCGAGCCGGGCCTAAAAATTTTAAAACCGGGCCGGGCCGTGCAAATGGTACCTCTGCAGGTCTCTGGTATATATATAACATTTTTACAAATTAAAATTAGAATATAATATTAAAAAGGTTAAGTTATAAAAATAAAAGTATCACTAAAATAAAAATATAATTTGAATAAGTTAAATGAATGCGCGTTGCATAATAAACATATACTATTTAATAACCAAAATATATAATTTATTAATTTCTATAATATAACATTCTCCCTCTTTTAAAAAGAGCCTTCACATAATTTCATTTAAGAAGTCATAGAGAGTTTGTTATCCAAGTGGTTCATCGTTTTGGTCATCAAGTTGTTTCATAAGTCATTGTAATCGTTGGCTTGTCCCAATCGTTGGTTTGTTTAAATCGTGAGCTTGATATCCTTATCGTAAGTTGTCTCCATAAATCATGATTTTCTATGGTAGTACTCAGTTGTTATTATTATCATTTTTCAAATTTGTTATCATCAGTAAGTTGCGAATAATGAGAAATAATAGTTCATCAAGTTGGATATAAAAATAAGTGAAGAATGATAAATCATTAAGATTGTTATATAAAATTTTCAGTGTTTTAAGTTTTCGCGTTTTAGTGTTCAATTAATTTTTCGCGTTTTCGTGTTAAATTTATTTTTATTTATAAATTAATATTTTCAATCCTGAGGTTAAAATATGCAAATAAAATATTATTCATTTCGTGTTAAATTTATTTTTATTTATAAATTAATATTTTCAATCCGGAGGTTAAAATAAGCAAATAAAATATTATTCACATTTCTCTCTAAATTTCACACCCTAGTTTTAATTCAATAAATGTTTTTTTTTAAATAATAATTCTTCATAAGATAATTTTTAGAAAATGATCTCCTCATGACATCATTTAAATATTTTTCTAAAATGATGTTGTTTAGTTTTTACATAACTTCTTTTATTTGTCTTCAAGGTTTTAAATTTCAAAAACTTTTTATCACATTTATTACTTTAGTTATTTTAATTTTATAATTTTCTAATATGGATTATCATATTTTTTTATTTAATCATATGATTTTTATCTATTAAATCTTTTAATTCATATGTTTCAATTCAATTACATTTTGTTAAATCATATTTCTTGTTTAGGATTTTTAATGGTTTAACTTTGTAATATTTTTAATTATATCTAAGAATTCATCTTAATGTAATTCAGTTAATTTACACAATTGGTCATAATTCAATCAAAAATATGAAAAATATCAATAGGCATTTCACTAAGAAATTCAAAATATCAATAGGCATTTCACTAAGAAATTCAACTGTTAATTCATTATTAAGTAAATATTTTTTAAGGCTTTGTATTCAAATATGTCCATTATGATTGATTTACATTTAAGTTATTTTAATAAGTAAATTTATACATAATAAACATATACTATTTATAACCAAAATATACTATTTAATAACCAAAATATATAATATATTAATTTATTAATTTCTATAATATAACATTCAGTCCAATGGGAATTTAATTAATGACCATCCCAAAAGACGGAACCACCAAGTTGGATCAAGAAAAAAAAATACCAAGATGGATTAAGAAAAAAAAATGATCTTTATTGGGATTCGAACTCAAAGCCATCAGACTTGTAAGCGACGCTCTTGCCGATTAAGCCACATACGCTTTTAAAATTCACGAATTTTTAAAATATATATTATATATTGTGACACTGTTCTGTGATGCTGTGAGTGTGACACATCTTATATATTATAGATATTAAATTTTATAGCAGATTTCAAATCACATGAAAAATATTTAATTCAAAATAATTAGTATTTTACTATAATTGATAATTCTGATATTATACTCTGAAAAGAATAAGGATCTTAACGATATGGCTCGAGGTGCGAGTCAGTAAAAATATATTTTATTAACTAACTTCTTTTTCTTTTCTTAAGGTATATATACATTTTCTAAAATATAAATTAGAATATATATAAAAACAAAAAGTAAGGTTACGAAAAATAATAAGTAATATAAGTTGAATTACAAAAATAAAAAGTTGAATTGAAAAGATAAATTTGAATTCATAAAAAGTAATACAAGTTGAATTTGAATTCCTAACCAAATAAAAATATAATGAATGTATGCAATATAAAAATTAAAATACTATTCAATAACCAATATTTTAATTTAATAATTCCTATAATATAACATTCTCCCTCTTCTACAAGCCTTCCCATAATTTCATCTAAGAAGTCATAGAGAGTTTGTTGTTCAAGTGGTTTATCGTTTTGGTTGTCAATGTTGCATAAGTCACTAATCGTTGGCTTGTCCAAATCGTTGTTTGTTCGTTTTTGTTTAAATCGTGAGCTTGATATCCATATCGAATGTTTTACACATCGTGACATTGTTATTATTATCATTTTTCAAAATCGTTATTATCATCAGTAAGTTGCGAATAATAAGAAATAATAGTTCATCAAAATATAAAAATAAGTGAAGAATGATAAATCAATAAGATTGTTATATTTTTAGCGTTTTAATTTTTCGCGTTTTAGTGTTTAATTAATTTTTGCGTTTTAGTATTTAATTTA